TTCCCGCCTCTCAAATCCCTCACTACCGCAATGATCTGCCCCCCCCCCCTCCCCATCTGCCCGCCTCTCAAATCCCTCACTACCGCAATGATCTGCCCGCTTCCCCCCGATCTGATCGCTTTACCTCATTCCCTCGCCCCCTCCATCCGATCCCTCTCAACTCCCCAACTCCGACGCCCAGTCGACCACTCCTCTCCCTCCCTCCTTGCCCCCACACGCGCACACACGCCCCTGACCCACCCACGAGACCGAGACTGGCAGGAGGAAGGGAGAGAGGATGGACAAGGGCAGGATTGTCGTGTGCGGCAACAGCTCGGTCCGCATCCGCCACCGGCTCCCCCCTACAGCCCGACCTGCCGTGGAGGACTTTCACGCCGACCACTTCCCTGTCCGCTACTCGGACGGCTTTTTTGACGCACTCATGCCCGAGACACGCGGCATGAACCAAGCGGCTCATAGCGGTGGACATGGACAAGAGACGGGACAAGGCGGATATCGGCTCTCTTCGCCTCGACGCACCGCTGCGCGCTCGGATCTGGCCGGTGGGCGGGATGCGGTGGAGGGGCCTCGCACTCCGGCGGATCAGGCCGGCGGCTATCAGCCGCACTGCATCATGGTGGCGGCGACGCCGGTCCACGAGCCGCACACTCTGTACGGGATGGCGACAGGGAGGTTTGTGGAGGAGTACACTGGGCTCGGTGGCACGCTCGAGGCCGCGTATGTGTCTACCATCGCTGTGATGGATGCCATGCGCGGGCGCGGACTCGCGTCGGTTCTGCTCGACGAGCTGATGGCCGCCATGCTCGCCGATCCCGACTATGGCGCAGCTGTCGAGGTTTTCCGCCTCCACGTCCTCGCCGACAACGTCGCCGCCATCACTCTGTACTACAAGCATGGTTTTGTCATCCGCGAGTACCTACCGGAGCACTACGAGTTCCACAATGCGCGGCACGACGCTTTCCTGCTCCAGCGCGACGCCTCGCTTGGCGCCTCGGTCCCGGTTGTACCTGATGCACGGGAGCGGGCGGTGGCGGACATGGCGGCGGCACGCTCGCTGCTCAACCGGCTGCTCCCACCGCCCGAGCTGCGGTCGTTGGCGCTGCTGGTCGGAGTGGCGCTGGTCGTGCTGGGCGGCGCGGCGTTTACCTTTTCGCTGCTCATGGCGCGGCCGGTGGCGTGAGGCCTCCGCCCCGGCGGCGGAGCGGGCTCGCTCAAAGGCGAGCAGACTGCGTGGCCCGCGAGCGCGAGCGGACGCGTGACTTGCGGTCGTCGTGGCGTGGCCGGCGCGAGGTCCGCTCGTGGGTGATCTTGTTGTAGTAGAAGGCCTTGCCGCGGGCGTCTTCGCCCATGCGCCAGCCGCGGGGCAGGGCGCGGCCGTAGCGGTCAAACTTGGACATGAGCGAGGTGTCCATCGGCAAGTACTTGCGCTTCTTGCCGCTCTCCATGCTTCCGCCGCAGGCCTTGCAGTACTTGGCATCCTCCATGTTGAGGGTGGCGCACCCAGGACAGGCAACCATCGGCTCAGCCACGCCGGCAGCCGCCGCAACAGGGAGGATCTCGTCCGGCGGCGGCGGCGGCGCGGCGGCGGCCTTGTCGTCGTCAAACAGCAGGCCGCCCTCGTCCGACGATGACTGAGTAAACGGCCCGGCAAAGTTGTCGGTCGCGCCGTATCGCGGCGCTGGCGCATCAAAGAGTGCCCCCTCCTCGCTGTCCTTTCCACCGTTGCCGACCGACGACGCCGACGACGACGACAGCGCCCGGTAGTTGCCGGCCACCGTTCGCGCCTTGACGTGCTCCGCCATCTTGAGCTTGAGCCGGACAGCGAGAACACAGCCGAGGATGCCGACTGCTGCCAGGCACGAGCCCACAATGAGCGAGCGCTTGACGAGGGTGTTCATCTTGGCTGGCGGGCCTGGCGCAGGCGTCGGCGACGGGCTGTGGCCTGGCGGCGGCGGCGCGCCGGGCGGGCTTGGCGGGCTCGGCGGCGCTCCTGGAGGGCTTGGTGTTGGCCCCGGGTTTGTGCATCCGCCCGAGCACGCTTGGCAGTGCGAGATCGAGAACGTGCTCACGCACTCGACGGTCGACACAAAGGTAAACTTGTAGTCGGTCCCGGTCTGCGACTGGTCGCACTTGAACTGTATGAGACCCTTGTTGTTCGTCTGGCACGTGCTCGAGAACGCACCGCCGTCCATGGTCATCTCCACGCCGGTCCCCGACGGGGTCATCTCCGAGTACGTGATCTGGTCCTTGGCGAGCTGCTTGGAGTTGGACGAGCCCCATGTCTGGCACACTGTCGTGTCTGCTCCACACACCGACGACGTCAGCGGGCTACACACTGCGATGGTATACACGTAGTCTGTGGTTGAGACCTCGTATCCCACACCGCTGTGCCAGGAGTTGACGGGGAAGGAATGTGAGTGGGGCGTTGTCATGATTAGGCCGACCGACAGCCATAGGCCCATGCCGGCACGACATGATCTCTGCTCTCAAAGCAGAGCAGAGATCATGTCGTCCACCCGGGTAGTTGGCTCTTGCACCCAGGCTCTATCCTACCAGGTCGATAGACAGGAATCTCCATCGCGGCGCATCATGGTCGACGACGACTTGTGGCCCATCACGACGGCTCGTGGCTCATCGCGGCGACTCGTGGCCCCCATCACGACGGCTCGTGGCGGACAACAGGCAGCAGCATGCGTGCGCGTATCGGACAGCGAGAACGTGTGATGGGGGGGGGGGAGGCGGGAGCACATGCACAGCACAAGTGGTAGACATGGCAGTGGTATCAACAATGGCAAAGGCATGACAACGTACGAGTTGTCAAAGGGCGAGAGGTCGTAGCTTTGGTACGAGCATGAAGCGGCGTGTGACTGGAGAGGGAGGAGGAGCAGAGCAAGGAGGGAGAGCGACAGGAGGGGGGACAGCTCCATGACGGCAGCGGTGGAGGAGGAGGTGGTGGTGGTGGCGGTGATGGTGATGGTGGTGGGGGTGGTGGTGGCGGTGGAGGAGGCGGTGGTGACACAGCCACCTGGGTGGGTGGGTGGGTGTGCGGTGAGGGACGAGGAGTGCTGGCCGTGCTTGTGGTGGGGGGTCTGGAGGCAGACGGACGGAGAGTGGGGGGGGGTGGGGGGGGGGGGGGGGGGGGGGGGGGTCACGCCCTGCCGAGTGCCAGGTCGGCACCTGCTGTCAAAGTACAGACATCCTCGCAGCCTACCGAGACAATATCAAGCCAGTCTCAACTATGTAAAACATACATAGCCGAAATAGATGATGATAACCGTGCTGGCCGTGATGGCCGTGATGGCCGTGCTGGCCGTGATGGCCGTGATGGCTGCCATGATGATGGCGGCGTTGAGGCCCAGCTCGAGGCGGTCTGCACAGCAGAGGTACGGATGACAACAGCGAGGAGACAGCCAGCCCAATCGTGGCCATAACCACACATCCCTCCCTATCTCTGCTCACCACCACTGTATCCGCCAGCCATTCATCCGACACACATGTCATCGTTCCCGTGCGTTGCGTAACAGGCAGTCGCGTTTGCTTGCCACGTCGACCTAAGAAATGCATGTCAGCTACCGAATCAGCGTGGGCGGGAGACAGAAGGTGGGGATGGGGATGGTGACAGGGATGGGGATACACTTGACTTGATCACCTTTTGCAAGAAGGAGAACCAAGGCAGGGAAGCGTCACACCAGATAGTCTACCCTCACGCATACGTAACCTGTTGCTACCACCACCATGGCTGCCATTGAAAGCTTTCCCTCGCTCACGGTCGTTGCCATCGACGGCTTTCTCAAGAAGAAGCCTGTCCTCCTCAACATGGACACTGCCTCGGGTCGCATCTGTCAGCAGATTGACGGAGGCAATGTTGAGGCCATGGATGTCTCTGCTGCTTTCAGAGTCAAGAACGCCCCCAACGTTAAGGTCATCGTACGTCGACCCCCCCCCCCCCTCCCCTCCCCCCCCCCTCCCCCCCTCACGCATCACCTGTACTCATCCTGCTGATGTGCACGACTGGGTGTCTCTCTTTCTCTCTCTCTCTCTCACTCTGTCGGTTTCTCGACACGCGGCTACATCTGATCTGATGTTTCGCACATCATCAGATGAACGTAAAGGGCAAGTCAAAGGAGGTCGAATACCGGTTCGCCTCGGACAAGCTTGCCGAGCAGGCGTACCTTGGGTTCCAGGCTGCGCTCAACTTGCGTGAGGTTGAGGGCTACTCGCCGCGCCCGCTCTCGGTCTTTGTTGGAACGATGAACATGGGCGATGCCGCGTGTACCGACGATCTCGAGCCGTGGATCCCGCGCAACACGTACGATGTCTACGCCATCGGCGTGCAAGAGTGCGAGTACAAGCCGGCTAACGGCGGGAAGACTGAGGCCCACTGGTTCTCCCAGGTCGAGACCCATCTCGGCTCGGGCTACGTTCGCGTCTCGGGCGGCTCGCTCTGGTCCATTCGCATCATCGTCCTCATCCGCGCCGAGCTCCGCGAGTTCCTCTCGGACGTCGCCATCAACTCGGAGGCAACCGGCATCGGCCACGTGGCTGGCAACAAGGGCGGCATCGGCATCTCGTTCTCGCTCGGTGACTCGTCGTTCTTCTTTGTCACCTCGCACCTCGCCGCCCACCAGGGCGAGGTTGCCAAGCGCAACGCAGACTTTTCCGAAATCATCCAGGGCCTCTCTAAGCTCTCTGTCCGCAACGTCGACGTCACCTCACTCTACGACCACGTTTTCTGGTTCGGCGACCTCAACTACCGCATCGACCTCGAGCGCGATGCCGTCCTCGCCGCGGTCGAGGCCGGCAACCTCGACGAGATCCTTGCCGCCGACCAGCTTGCCGCCGAGATGGCCGCCGGCAACGTCTTTGTCGGCTTCTCTGAGGCGCCCATCTCGTTCACGCCGACGTACAAGTTTGATCGTGGCTGCCGCGAGTACACCACCACCAAGATGCGCGTCCCGTCGTACACCGACCGTATCCTTTGGAAGACCGCGCCGCACATCGAGCTCTCGGCCACCGCCTATGACGCCGCCCACGACATCACCACCTCGGACCACTCGCCTGTCTGGGCCGCCTTTGACACCCAGATGCTCCTCCCGTTCCGGTCCGCAGTCTGGGACGAGGCCTTTGACTCCCGCGGCATCGTCCGCATCCGCAACCTCTGCGGCGACAACCTTCGCTCCATGGACCTCAACGGATACTCGGACCCGTATGTCATCTTCTTTGGCCGCGCCGTCGACTCGATCCAGACCCCAACCATCAAGAAGACGCTCCACCCGACTTGGGCCGACAACCCCGACGAGCCGTTCAACATGTCGCTCGTCATCAACGAGCCCGACTACATCGAGCACCAGTCCATCATCGCTCTTGTCATGGATGAGGACAAGATGTCCAAGGATGACCCCCTCGGCCAGGCCTGGATCCCGCTCGCTCCCGGCATCGGCGGGCCGCACGAGTTTACCGTCCAGCTCACCGCAAACGGCCGCCCGGCTGGCTCCCTCTCCGGCACCATCGAAGTCGACCTCGACGCCATGGTCTGATCCTCATCACGTGGAAATACTTGCACACACTCTTGTTCTTCCTCTGCTCTTCATTGCGTCTGCTCTCTCTCTCTCTCTCACGGTGCCTTCACCTTGGGCTGGGTCTCCCGCTCCTCAAACGCATGCTGCGCCACTGCATCCATCCCTGATCGCAGCTGCGCCTCGTAGTTGATGTCGTCCATGTTGTCCACGCCACGCACCGCCTTGTTGGCCTTGACATCGCCTCGGGCCGTCGCGTCCTTCATCGTATCGGATCCAGTCTTCGGGTTCGGCATCTTCAGATTGTTTCTCTTCTAGCTTATTCTTGCTTGTTGGTGATTGTTCACGGTTGCGCTTTATCTCCTTCTGATTCCCCTCTCTGCTCACCTGCTCTTTATGTTGGTGCGCGGCTGCGCCGGAGTCATCCATCACGCTAGCCGTCACGGTGACGTCCAATGTTCACGAACAATTGCCTTCTCCACCCCCCCCCCCCCCCACTCCGTGCCCTCACACACTACATCGGCTTCATAGACGTCTTAGCCATGGCTTGGATCGGTTCTGGGCTCCTGAGTAAAAGA